TTAATACCCAACGATTTGTCAATTTTTTTTTTTCTAAGAGCTAGAGTTAAACCTTAGGTTAGGGGAGAGATGGGGTGCTGCAGTGTATCCGCACAGCATCCACTTATATGTATTAGGGTTGAAAGTCCCCAAATGTCTTACAATGTGCATCAAAGACATGTAGATATAAATTTGATGAAAAAGTGAAATTTATGCTAGTTGTAAAAATACGGACATAGCAAAATAAACCAATTTTATATATTAGTCTGCTTAACATTGACATAACATATAACTCACTTAGTCAAACTATTTACTGTCTCGCATTTACCACACAATCACATTAATACATAAAAATTAGTTTAATCCTCTCTTCTTAACATACATACTGTTCTGCTAGACTACACATCTCCGTCCAAGCGTAGGAGACCATTATTTGTTCCCCTATTTAGTTAACCAGGTATTATTCCATGTAGCCCAAGATTACTTCATAATTCATAATATTGGCAAAAAGGATAATTTTCTAAAACTATAAATATGTTTATTTTAAAATTTATATTATTGAAAGGAAGCTTTTGAAAAATATAGATTTTTTTATGTATAACATATTGCATCAACATTACAATTATGTAACATGCTATAAATCCCAAATGAAACACTTCGAACAAAAAAACCTTTCATAACATTTTTTAAATTAAATTTTTTTTACCAACCTTTAATATATTGGTACTTGAGATCTAAACCATTCTTTACTGCAGGAACAAAATGTAACTTTGCTAAAAAAATAACTGATCCCTTGTCCTAATGTGTTTTCTTTTTTCACTTTAATCTCTGGTTCATATGACCTAGACCTGGCCTCTAGTCAATCAGTGTTTAAACAGTCCAGGCACCATAATTACCAGAGCACACTGTAGTAGTTATGGTAGTAGGAGTGCTCTGGCTTCTCCCCATTGTAAGTTTTCAAACCTTTTTAAAATGGTTTGACTTTTTACCTAGGGCAGGGCAAGAAAAAGTTTCAGAATTTCCACACTAAAAAATAAATAAATAAATAAAAAGGCCTATATGGCTCAACAAGATCCTTATATTACTATAAAGGAGGTTTTAAAATGTCCTATGCCCTCACCTTCCACTGTGGCAGGTGGAAGCATTCCTACAAAATCTATAAAACTAGCAAATGGGCAGCCATTGCACATGATCTGTTTTTTTATGGACATTGTTCTTTATTTTATTTATGTATTTTTAATATTAATTGATAAATGTATTCAAGCTTTTATTTGGTTCCTGGCTTTTAAAAAGATACCTGTTATATATTGGTAGGACTATCCGTCCCCTAAATGTCAGAGTTAGCGAGCATATCCGTAACATAAAAAAAGGGTTTGAAAACCATAGTGTATCCCAGCACTTTAAAATTATGTATAATCAGAACCCCGCAGAGCTCTTCTTTTGCGCCCTCAAATTGGTAAAGAAAAACTGGAAAGGGGGCGATTATATTAATAAAATAGGGAAGGAATAAATGAGGTACATTTTTAACTTTAATACCCTTATCCCTCATGTTCTAAATTCAGATTTTGAATTGTGCCAATTTCTGTAAATGCAACCTTTTTAGCTTCTAATCATTTTAGTCTTTATTTTTTACTTGTCACCTGTGTATTTTTTGGGTCTCCAAGTTTTTTAAGGAGTCCTTGTTAAATGTTTCACTAACTTTAATCAAACCTATTTTACTGGAATAAATAGAATTGCGATCATTGTAAAGTATATCTTAAAGTCTTATAGACTACCCATAATTAACATTTTATATGGATGTCTTCTTTTTTTGATTGAATGCCCTCTCTAGCACATTTTAGAGAGGTATTATATTTATGTGTTTTACTTATTTTAAAGCCTGTAGCCTTTCCTATACATTATTATGTTTTTTAACTTATGGACTATGGATTAACCCCTTAACTCCGGAGGTCGTACTATTACGCCCTGCAGGAGCCGGCTCTAAACGCCGGCGGGCGTAATAGTACGCCCTCGCTATAATGGTGCCCATGTGGCTGGCGCTAATCGCCCACTGCAGATCGCGGTCGGGGGGATGCCTGGCCCCCCAGGCAACCCCTCGTGTGGCCAGTGACCGCGATCAGCAGTCTCTGATCGCAGTGACAGGCTGTCACTGCGATCAGTATTTTCCGTGTGTCAGCCGATTTCAAATCAGCTGACACACGTGGCCGGCGGCTTTCTGCTATGCAGATCGTGGTCGGGGGACATACCTGGCCCCCCAGGCAGCCCCCCTGGGGTCAGTGACCACGCTCTGCTAAGTCTGAGATCGCAGTGACAGCAGTGACAGCCTGTCACTGCGATCAGTGTTACATGTGTCAGCCTAATGGCTGACACATGTAACAGGCGCAATGATCCCCCTGCAGATTGGGACGGGGGAGTGCTTGTACCACCCAGGCACTCCCCCCTGTGGTCAATTACCCAATCTGCAGGAGGTGATCACAGTGACAGGCAGTCACTGTGATCACTGATCCTGTGTGTCAGCCAGTGATGTGAAACCACTGACTGACACTGTCTCTGCCCCCTCTCCTGTATTAAAAATAAAATATTAGTTAAAAAAAAAAATTACAGTTACAAATAAAATATACTTAGATCATATATATAATGCTTATATATATTACTATGCATTTATATTTGTGTATATGAGTCCACGTGCATGTAAGTATATGTGTTTATGTATATATACATGTGTTTATATGTTCACATATACATATTTCTGTGTGTGTGCATGTATAAAGTGTATCATCCTGTGCACTGTCTGCTTGTTTGTTTTTCTTTTCCCTCTCTCCCCCCTACTCTTCTCTTCAACAAGATATTTATGACTAAGATGGTGTCTATTTTCTAACAAAACTACACTCATGTCGCTTTAACCCCTGTATCACAACTCAACTTTGAATTCTATGTGTCGTTTTGCTCAGAAATGCTTCAGACTTGAGAAAGGGAGGTTCTCCCGAAAGCTTGTCATTAAATAATTCTGTTAGTCCAATAAAAAAGGTATTACAAGATAAGAATTTTATCTGTTTTTTACATCTACATCACTGGACTAATACGGCTACAATCTCTACTTATATATATATATATACACACATACATATACACACACACACACATTTACACATACACAAAGTGTATTTAAATATTAATATATATAATTATTTATATATATATATATATATATATATATATATTACTATCGAATTACACGTAGACTGATACTGATTAAATATATATATATATATATATATAATTATTGATATATATATATATATATATATATAATATAAAAAAATATAAATATGTAAAAAAAATAAAATTAAAAAAAATAATTAAAAATAAATAATTAAAAAATATATAGATGTTTGTTATTTCGTTCTAACTGTATTGTGATATTAATGTATATATATATTTATATCAAAATACACATAGAACGAAATAATATATATATCTATATACATAAATATAAACGTATATATCACTATATATATATACACACCTATATATAAATAAAAATATTTAAAAAAAAAATATATATATATATACGTATATATACACATATGTATATATATATGTATATATATACATATATTAATTCTACACATATATTTATGTAATATTTTTACATAATTAGGTATCCTAATTAATTACAATTAGCGGGACCTGCCTGACAACCCATGCCGAAAGTATAGGGAATTTAATTTGCTAGCACTATATTTAACCCTATAACTTTCCAAGACACCATAAAACCTGTAAATGGGGGGTACTGTTTTACTCGGGAGACTTCGCTGAACACAAATATTAGTGTTTCAAAACAGTAAAATGTATTACAACGATGATATCGCCAGTAAAAGTGAAGTTTTTTGCATTTTTCACGCACAAACAGCACTTACACGGACGATATTATTGCTGCAATACTTTTTACTGTTTTGAAACACAAATATTTGTGTTCAGCGAAGTCTCCCGAGTACAACAGTACCCCTCATGTACAGGTTTTATGGTGTTTTCAAAAGTTACAGCGTCAAATATAAGGCTTGTGTTTCATTTTTTTCCACATTAAAATTCGCCAGATTACTTACGTTGCATTTGTGACCCTATGGTAGCTCAAGAATGAAAATTACCCCTATGATGGCATACCATTTGCAATAGTAGACAACCCAAGGTATTGCAAACAGTGTATGTCCAGTCTTTTTTAGTAGCCACTTAGTCACAAACACTGGCCAAAATTTTCATTTTTTTGCATTTTTCACACAAACAAATATTAACGCTAACTTTGGCCAGTGTTTGTGACCAAATGGCTACTAAAAAAGACTGGACATACCCCATTTGCAATACCTTGGGTTGTCTACTATTGCAAATGGTATGCCATTATGGGTGTAAATTTCATTCCTGGCTACTATAAAGTCCCAAAGGCAACGTAACCAATCTGGCGAATTTCAATTTCAAATGTAACGTGCTATATTTGACCCTGTAACTTCCCAAAACGCCATAAAACCTGTACATAGGGGGTACTGTTTTACACGTGAGACTTTGCTGAATACAAATATGTGTATTTTATTTCAGTAAAAGCAAACAGTATTATGACATTGACAGTTAAAATGTCATGTAGAACTAAAAAAAAATCAAAAGAAATCTTATTTCCTCCCATTTTTTCATATTAAATTATGTTTCACAGCTAAATATTTGATTATAAATGAAAGCCCTGTTTCCCCTGAATAAAATGATATATAATAAGGGTGGATGCATTTACTATGAAAGAGGTGAATTACGGTTGGACAGACATGTAGCACAAATGCCAGGTTTTGTTTACATTTTGTTTCGTTCACAACGTGTACATTTGGCTCCATCCTTAAGGGGTTAAAATACTGTCACATATTTGCACTGTTTTCTATATTTGTAATGAATTCCCGTTTTTTATACACTGTTCTTCTTTTTGTGTATCTCGGAGTACTTACACTCCTAATGGACAATAACATTTATATTAAGAGTGGAACTCATATACGTTCCAAGTACAGAATGAGATCGCAGGTGGAACGCATGTGCGTTCCAGGCACAGAACGTGACCGGAAGTACATCATCAGTATGAAGTTGGCGGCAAGAAACATCATAGGACTAAGACGGAAGCAGCTCACGGCTACCACAACAGAGCGAGATGAACAATTAAAGGAGAGCTACATAAGAAGACAGATGTCAGGACAAGAGACTTATGCAACTGAGGAAGTCTATTTAGGCAAAACGCGTTTTGCAAGTATTTTATTTTACTAAAGACTTTGCAGATAGGTGTTTCAGAGTGTGGTGGTATCTATTCATCATCACATATTGGGACTTTGTATTGTGTGTTTATTATGCCTTTGGACTGTACCTATGCCTCCAACGGTACCATAGTTCGCAAAACAGATTTGGTGATTTTTGAAAAAGCTTTAAAAGCCACAAACTCGGTTCCTGGTAATGTACCTAAGGAAAAAGGCTCAGAAAATAAGACTCCTGGGATCAAGGTACTTGCTGCTTGTACCAAAATCCATGACCAACCTTAACCTCTCTCCAGAAGTACCTGAAACATCTGCTACTTGTTCTGTGGAGAAAAATCCTCATCCTGGCTACACTTGCGCATCTGATGGGACTCTAGTGATTACAGAACACTTGCAAGACTTTGAAAGGGCACCGCAAGCCATCAAGACCGCTCAAGCTGGTGACTCCAAGACCAGAAAGTTAAAAGTCAGGACTGTGAGGGTACTTTGCTCTTATTTCCTAAAGGCGGCATTGAGGAGGGGGTACTGTCACGGTTCCCACCACAACTTCCAGAGTGCCAAACGATGTCGCCCCAGGAGTGACCATTAGCGGATTTGAAACTGGGTACCTTGCAGTCCTGGGGCTGCGATGTTACCTCTAAGCCACTATTCAGCTTTAGTATGTCAGTATCTAGCCCTGTCTTGTATCCAGCACTGGGGGCTGGACATTAATTGACATTACTTCTGTCACTCTTCGTACACCTGATATTGATGGTCTCATTAGCCAGGTATAAAACACTGCCTCTCCCAGAAGGCAGTGTCAGTTCCTTGACTCTGGTGACCGTATTGCTGTTTTGTGTGCTCTGGTTTGCTTCTGACCTTGGCTTGTTTCGTTTATTCTGATTTCTGGCATCCTCTGACCTTTGGATTCCCACGATGATTCTCCTGCTTTATCCGTTCCTCTACTGCGACCTGGAGTATTATCCTGCACAGCCCCCGTGCACTGACTCACAGGCTAGGTGAATTCTTACCTGACCACCTCGGCCTGTGTTTACTTGCAAGGGTGAGCATATATCTCTGCCTACTGGACTCCCAACTCAGGTAAGCCCTGACATTGTGCACTCAATGTGTACAGGACCTTCCCCACCTGTTTGGCTGCTAAGATGTTGCCTTGAAGTTCGATCTACAAGGAATGGGAATCATGTTAGTGAAATTCATTCATCTGCAAGAATAACCCAGTTTGTAGGGGAAAACACAGGGTAAGTGGCTGTTATAGACCAGATTTAATTTCTTAATATGAAATAAAAGTTTTGTAAATGCACGATTGGAGTAGTTATTTGATTAACAGGCTTTATTTACCATCATGAACCTCTGGTTCAAGATTCATTGTCATACCACAACAGAAAACTGTCATTTCTATGTTATTTTATTATTTTTTAGGACAAAGCTAACCGCTAATACCTGCATTAAACATTACTTGCCATCATTTTATGAGATCTCTTATAAAATCACAGGAAATGGATACTATTTTTTGGAAGCTGTTTTGACAGCACACTGTTAATATTGGCGTGTAGCCTGAGGTACCTGAAGAGAAAAGTTATTTTGCTTGTTGAAAAGAAAATGTTTTACATATATTTCCAAGAAAGTTAAAAAGTATCATAAATGTTAAAACCTACATATAATATAACAAAATAGAATTTAAAAATCCTCTAAAAAGCCTATTCTAGTGGCAGGAATGTCATCTAGTAGCCATATAGGATTTCATTACCACTAAAAGCATGGAATGACTGCAGAAACATCTTAACTTACACTGGGGGAATACTGGTTGTGTATGACAACACATCTCAAATGACCCTGTATCAGGATATAATTGCACCTGACTGTTTATAAAACTTGTGCATTTGATTTCAGACTTTTTTTTTGCCAGAAATCCTGAACCAAATGCCATATGAACATATCATAAAAAACAAACAAAATGGCCAATGGACAAGCCATTTCATTAGTTTTGGGATTCGGAGTTAAAAATCCCAACTATTTGCTTACTGAAGGCACTATGCCTCATCTGCCTTGATGTGGTTGGGGGAATTCCTATTAAACAGTGAGCTCCCAGTGATTGCTCACTAATTAAAAACTGCTGCCCAACGTTGCTGAGAAAAAAGATCCATCCCATATTGAAAATAATGATGTAAAATACTTGAGTAAACCTGGAACAGGTTCCCTTCATACTCTGACTCATAGGCATTGGGTGGGAGCTTAAAATTAAATATAGAGGGTTGGACAGATCACTGACCACCACCTGGGGGATATTAAAAGAAATTACGTGGTTGGTGGGTTGTTATTAATGACATAAGAGGTAACCAGTGACCTGTCCACTCCAAGTATTTAATATGAAGCCCCCACCTGATGCCCACAGGTGTATGGAGGTGCTTTTGCCAGGTTCCTCCTAGGCTTCGTCCCAATAGTAGTTTTTAATAACAGTAGTTTAGTAGACATGTCTTCACCCACAGTATGGCTGATAGGGCATAAGGAAGGTATCATATCTCCCTTATAATAACATTATACTCTAAAAATATTGGTTCACCTAAACCTTTTTAATCTTTTTGCATGGAAGAAATCTGGTCCATCCAAAAATTTTTTTTTTTTACTACATGTATATTTACATGTATGAACATAGAGGGATACTTCAAGCACCATAACCCACTCAGTGCACTGTAGAGGCCATGATGCCAGCAGTGCCTTGGTGCCACCTCCAAACTAAGTAGTCAAACTGTCACAAAATGGTTATATGAACTACGCTTCATTTATTAGACAAGTATATGTGGGTAGAAAATAAAGAAATTCTGCATTTCATAAAATCCAGTCAAAAACATACAAATCAAATTTAAGAGACTACATTTATGATAAAATGTCCTCTATGAGATATTTCTAAGTCAAGTGTTTCTACCTTCGTTTGGCACTATTGAGTTAAACAACATTCAAAAATGCATGTCAATTGTTGATCTAGTCAAGTGACTAAACAGTCAGATTTGCACACTATAAGTCAAACGTTTAGGTGAGCTTGTATTATTTTTTTTTCCAGTTAGGCTATTTTGGATCACATTTGGCAAATTATTTGTTTGTACACCACACATAAATTTTTGATAAACACTTTTAGGACATGTTTTCATAGGCATTAGATTACCAAATTGGTTGGTTTAACATCCCATGTTTTATCATCCAGAAGGGGAAAGATTACCCTTAACCTTACTTATAACAGTAAGCCATATATTTTTAAATTTCTGGAAAAGCAAGACAATCAATGTCCATTTATCTTCTATATGTATATACAATTTTACTAAAGAATGTGAATAGTTTGCAAATTGTTAGCACAAGATGTATAAAGATTCATGCACAGGAGGGAAAGGACCATATGCCTGGTTTCATCTGTCTTATGAAAGACATTTTATTGTAATTGCTATACTGTGAGCTATAACTCTACTAAGAGAATGATCATAAGTCTTTCTTTGTCCAGATTTAAGTGTGAAACATGATTTGGAATGGATTAAAGCCATTTAAAAGAAGCCAAGTGAGGAAGGACATTCTAACATTCTAAAATGTTATGTATCTTCATTAGTGTTAAAAGGTGGCAGGGTTGTAAGGGTAAGAGGATCAAGCAATCGCTTGCTGAAAACATATGTAATGGATTTCACTGTTTGATGTTCCAAAAGTGGAAAACAAAGATGAATTGTCTAAAGTTACCATTTGTAACAAATTATTTTCATTATCAGCAGCTAAATAATGGTAAGAATTTATACTTTAATATTGAAAAAGTTGGGATTCTATCTATCACCACGAGGGCTGCACTCACCTGAACATGCATACATTATAATGGTGCTGCTGGGGCCAACTCATACAACATACAAGATCCAGCGCACTCACTCATTCACTAAACAGCAATTTCAAAGCTCAGTAAATGTAATAGTTTTATTTAAAAACACATCAACTAGGCAAAACTAATGGGGGTTTAGTTACAGTATATGATTACACATTGCATAAGCCTGCCACAACATCAATGTACCCCATTCTATCCTAGTAACTTAATGCTTTCTCTTATGAGATTAATCCACTTTGTAGGGAAATCCTTCCTCCTGGGACTTTCGGCAGTGCAAGGTTAACAAGTGCCCTGGAATGAGGCACTCCATGCTAAATAGTACTCCAATCTAAATAGTGCAAAGCAGCAAACTTCCCTGGTGCTTGCCCTAGCATATAATAGAAATTAAAAAAAAAAACAAGAATGTTCAGAGGACTTAAATAATAAATGTAGTAAATCAAACCATACACCCTCAATGTGTCTGCCTCTAGGGCCCTTTTCAAGACTTGAAGTAAAAAAAAAGGCCCTACAGGCCAAGATATTGACGGTGTATGGTTTGGTTTAATATATTAAATTATCTGAGTGCTCTAGTTTTTGAATATTATATATGCATATAATATATATTCATATATTTAAATTAAAGCAACAAGACTGCACTCACCTGAACATGCATACATTATAGGGTGCTGCTGGGGCCAAAATATACAAAATACACAATCCAGTGCTCTCGCTTATTCACTAAACAATGATTTCAAATCTTAGAGATTGTAATAGTTTTATTTAAAAACACCTCACCTAGGCAAAAAATGATGGGGTATTTAGTTACATTATATGATCATACATTGCATAAGCCTGCCAACTACGTCAAAGTACCCCATATTCGGCAGGTCCTATCCTAGTAGCAGCCTAATGCTTGCTCTTATGAGATGAATCCACTTACTCGGACTCTCTGCAAGTCAAGGCTAAATAGGGTCCTGGAATGAGGCACCTTTGACAGGGAAGGGGGCAAAGCCAAGGGTGTATGCAATAGTGCAGCCCTCTTGGTTTCATTTATATATTTGGGAGTCTAGGCCAGCTCCTTGGTTTTGCACCC